AAATAATAATAATAATAATAATAATAATTTAGAAACTACCCTTCCAAATTGACAAACTTTCTGAGTGTTTGGTATCTTACCCTGTCACCTCGCATTCCAGGAAGTCCAGGGGGACCAGGCAGGCCAGGGAGGCCAGGGCTACCATGAGCACCCTGAGAAAACAAACACATCCCAGAGTCACTGACACCACCACACTGGGTGCACGAAAGACACACCCTTGGGCGTATTGGTTTAAGCTGCTCCTCTAATTTAAGCTGCTTTCTCACATCTCAGAAGGAGAGGGCCCAGACATCACACCCTCCAACCTAAGAGCCCTCCTTCCCGGATTCTCATTCCTTTCAACACTGGACCCTTTGAGTCAAGCCCCCTGCTCAGTACTGCTTCTCTTACTGTGTAAACAAGAGCTGCACAAGCTGTCAAAGGCTACATTCATACAGTTCTCTCCCATTCCAACAACAACCAGAGGCCCAAACGCAGCACCTCATGCTCCTCCCACTTTTAGAATGTGTGCTCCAAACCACTCCGATTATAAATCCCTCTTACGGGTATCTAGGTATAAATTTAAATTGCACATTTCCATCTTCATACATTCATGTCACAATAGGATGCTATTTAATCACCCTTTCTAAATTGTTTTCCTCACTTGGTTAAAAAGCTTTTAAATATTAATTGATGGAAAGCAAAGAAACTGTTGGAGAATAGAATTATGACTTACCAGTTTACCTGGTATACCTGGTGGTCCTACTGGTCCTGTTTCTCCTCTACTGCCCTTTAACAACATAAACATGATTGTCACTTAGCTGCTTTACTGTGATGCAAATGCTTAGCCATAAGGTAAATAAAGTAACATCAAACATGGGTTTTTTATTTTAATACAAAAGTGTTCTACCTAATAGGACTTTGAGCGGTATATAGATCATCATAGAAAATGTCCATAGCATCTTCTATCCATTTTCCAATAAATTTTATCATGCTCTTTACTCTGAGGACACACTGCTACTAGAAATAATGTCTGATAATTGAATATGAGACTGTAATTAGTCATTTTCAACACCTAAAATCACAATCTAAATTATGATAATTTGTGTACAAGTTTTAGTCCCTAATTTAGACTGTGTTTTTGAAGTATAGCTGTATGAATTTTAAATTCCATACAGTGTCCAGGACATAGGGTAAACTTTGGGTTCTGTAGCACATTTTCAAGGAATATCTGGCAAATGATCTTAAACATTAAGTGTGAAAACAGAGACATGGGACAGAGATGTTTGCCTCTAAATTACTATTACAATTTCAGAAAGACACAGATGGTAGATAAGGATAAATTTTCTGCAATAAAATCTTTGTTGTGCTCATTTTTTCCCTCAACATTTCTTAGATAATTAAATAAACTTTGAAAAATACAATTTATAATGAAGATCCCAAAAGCAATCCTCAGATTTTGTTTCTGAGACAATTCTAGCCTTCAGATCTAAACTATTTGAGAAAATAAGACACATGAACTTTTGCACCAAAACCTTGATAGTTATATCCAGTTGGAAGTAAGCTTGCTTTATTTGTAAAGCATGCTCAAGTAAGCTGACCAGTGAGATTATTGTATATAAATAGTCACACGCCCTGTAAGGTGTATATTAAAAATTAAAGATATTTACTGATTTAGTTCTTCTTTAAAATGACATGATAACTCCATATTCATGATTAATTTTTATAACTACATTTTATAACATTATTAGGCCATCCAGTGCTCATTCATCTTTTTATCAAACAAGGTGTCAAGATTAATAAATGCTCTGAACTTTTAGTGTTTCTAAAAATTAACAAATGTTTGCTAATTGCAACAATTTCTAGCTACGACGTATAATTCTGTGGTAGTGGTCTCATAAGATTTATAGGTGATCAGGACTAAATGATCCTAATAACTTTCAACAGTTTTTCACCCAAGCAACATGTCTAGTGTTTTTGGAGCAACACATTGGACTTTAACTCTTATTAGTACTACTTTGAAAGCAACTTAGAAGCTCTGTGAGGACTATGCTAAAAGGATGTAAACCAGACACTTCCGCCTATCAATAGAAACCTGAAAATAAAAAGAACAGGTTCCACCCTATCATTTCATCTAGCAATTCAAAGTTCAAGTCATATTTCCTTCAATATGTCTTTTCTCCTAGTATCTTCAAATAACATTATAACCGCGATCTTAAATATCATTGGGCTAACATGACTTTAATTCACAGAGCAATTCATACTCATTGGTGGAAAGTAATTAGTAGTCACTGGTGGGCAGTAATATCAGAAAATGAAAGCTCTGTCTTGACACAATCTCCAAGTATTTATTCCTAAGTAAACAAAGCTTAATACCATTTTATTCAAAATAAAGATGATTAATGTCTTCTTTTTCATCCCACAAACCAAAAGTCCAAGTTAAAATAAAAGTTTATATAAACTTTCATACACTTTTGAAGGGATTCATTATCTTCCTAAAGATAAAGGGTTTTCCCTCCTGCTATCATCTTTCTCTGTCATTTACAAGCTATTAATATTCTGTTCCTAATTGTTTTTTTAACCACTAGTGGGCCCTTGGTCATACATTCTGTTGGCTCAGAGCCCCATTCACCCATTCTGTTGGCTCAGAGCCCCATTCACCATAGATGGCCTGACCCATTGAACTTGAGTACTCAAAAGCCAGCTCGTACGTCATTGAGAAGCTGCTGAAATTATTGGCATTGACTACTCTGTAATTGTACAAGTAGACAGAATGTGGTTCTTCATTTTTATCTCACTTCCATCCTATAAATATCGTTGGCCATTTGGGACTCAGGTGTTTCTACAGAAATCCTATCACTATGGAAAAACTGTAACATGCATTCTTATAACACCGACCAAACAGCTATTAACCAACTGTTAGGGCAAGATTTTCTGAGGGTCATTTTTGTGATTTTTTTTTTATATTCTAAAACCATGCATCTTTTATTCTCTAGGCTTTATATTTTTATTTAATAAAACAGGTTAATATGAATAACTAGGCTATGAAAGTAGTCTTTGCAAACATATTAAACTAAACTCATCCTGCAGGGAGTAATTGACTATGATACTGGTAAGCACAGTATCCTGAAAGAATCACTAAGTAAATGAAGAATCCAGTATGCTTCCATAGTTGGAATATTCAACTATAATCTCGGACGAGGGCTGGGTAAGATAAGGAAATGATGGTTATACCTAGTGGCTCATATTTACCAAACCCAGACAACAAGGATTAGAACAGGGTTTTTTTAAAAAACCTTTTTGAAAATGGACCCAGAATATAACCAAAAACCCACCATTAAAAATGAGCCATAATCAGTGGTTGCTTTCCTCTTGAATACTTTGTGTCACCACATGTTACTCCAATATTCAGGTACTGTGCCAACTCATCCCTGTTTAGGGAACTGATCAAGGCTTTAAAGATATTGATTCTGTACAAGTCATACTCAAATCTTTGCATTCAGATCTTCTGAGGAGTTCTTTAGAAAGCTATTTCGTTGCATGGCATGCACTACCCCATCTCCTCAATTCTCCTTACTCTAAGTTCCTCCTTTTCTGATTCTGTAGACCTGGGGTAAGATCCAAGAATCCATTTGGGTTTATTTTTGTTGTTGTGTGCAGGTTTTCAGAGGCAATAAACTGTACTGGAAGAGACTTTTCATCCTTCTTCCAGGTAGCAGCTGGTGGATTTGAACCTCATGCTTTTGAGATTACATGCAGCTTCTTTCTGCTGGGCCACCAGAACTCCTTAACTCTGGCTGTGCATCCAAATCCTCTCAAATTTGGGTTTAAGAATCACTATGTAAATTTGCTATAATTTGTTTATTAACCCCATATAAATGTACTTTGACTCATGTGGAATGCCAATCATGAATGTTTCACAAATATTGCATTTGTCTTTAATCATCTGGATTTGGCAACTTCAAATTTAGGGAATCTAATTCTGAGTGATAACTTGGACTCTTGTGGAATTTCTCTTTCAATGTGACTTTTCCTAGCCATTGTTTGGCATTCTGTGAATGGGGTGTATTAGCCCATCCACAAAGGAATTGACTGCTATTCCACAAAGGAATTGGCCAGTCACAACAATCTTCAAGTGGATTGGCTAGTCTCACCATTGATTTGAGCAAGGCAGCAGTGAGAAGCAGATGGATCTTCTGGCACCATTAAACTAGAAGTAAGAGAATGCAGGACACCCTTTTTGCTCAAGCTGCACCTAAAGCAGCAATACCTATGGCAGAACTGGAGACCTGATGTGAGATGGGACCTGATGTGAGTTGGGGGAGAACCACTCTTGGCAAGACTGAGAACTTTGTTAGACTACTGGGGTTAGGAAGTCAATATTGGCAGGACTGAGAACTTGGAAACACTGGTCTAAAGCTGTGAGGCTCGAGGCTGAGGTGCCTGTATGCACATTTTGGAAGCACTCTTGAGTGTATTCTGTTATTAATCTGGATTATAATATTTTTACTTCTCTAATATGGTTCTGTGTGGTCTGTGAGCAATTGCATTGGGTTTTGGACCCAGAAAAGCAGTAAGACTGGTGTTGAGACAAGTAGAAAGAGGTGTGGGAGTATGGGCGACACATCTGACCTCATGGGAATTAGTTTTGTGTTACTGATCTGTGGGCAGGGATAGTTCTTCTTTGTAAAGTTGGTAAAGGACAGATATGCCTGTCCCCATGAACCTCTTGCTTTTTACAGCTATCAAGGCTTTAAAGGGTGCTGCTAAAAATATGCTAGACCACCACCACCAAATATGCTCAGCCATGCATAACTGCCATGCAAGGAATTTAACATCTCTGTGCCTCAGATTTCTCATCTATAAAAGAGACAAAAACAGTAACTACTTTATAGGATTGTTGTGAGAATTGAGTAAATTAAGATGTATAGAGCACATAAAGAACAGTGCTGCTCACTAAAGTAGTTATTGTTTTTACCCAAGATAATTAGCAAAGAAATTTGTCAAAAAAATGGTTTCATTACATGTTTCATTTTCTTTTTTTTCCAAACCTCTACATCTCCTTAGAACTATAAGTAGTGTTTAGAGAAAAATAGGTCCCTAGTCCAATTGATGAAGTGGATTGACACAGTAACTGGGGCAATGGGGGTTGGTATGTCAGACTTAGTGAGACTGACTCAGGACAGGGCAGCATTCAGAGCTGTTGTACACAGAGTCGCTATACATCGCAGGCGACTCAATTGGCCCATAAAAACAATAACATACTATGACAGGTTTGGGAGCAGGAGTAGCATCCACTTCCTAAATAACATGCCTCCGGAAACTCTATGAACTTTGATAAATGTCCATAGTTGTAGAGGGGCTTCAGGCCTTTTGTTCATAGGATCACTATGAGTCATGCTTGACTCAAAGGCAATCAACAACAACAGTCCTCATACCTCTAGTGTCTGTCAATATTGTTGATCACCAAACAGGCATCCTCTTTATAAACTGGTCACTACTTTGTAGAAATCATTTAAATAAATACATCCAGACTAAGAATTCAATTTGGAAGTTTTTCTCTTAATACGTAACTAAAAGAACACAGAGAATATCAGAACTTTAATTGTACATATACTGCCAAAATTATCCCACAATAAAAGTTAGAGGACTGTTCCCTTGTGTTCTAGTTTGTAATGGTTATTATATTTTGCATTATTGCCCAAAATCCTAACAAGCTGAAGAATGAACATTATCATTAGTACCATGCCATCTTAGAAGTGGGAAGTTCTAGCCATTATATTTAATCTG